ACGTTTAGGACCCACTGTTGCTATAATCAGTATTTCTCCAGTTCTGTTATTTCTAGTGAGCATTTTAAATACAACCAACCTCTGCCTCCCTGCTCACCCATGAGAGGCAGAGTTGCCAGTTTCCGTGATTCTGAGGCTGTTTGGGCTCCACTCGCAGAAGTTGAGAAGGAGATTGCTTTGGCTCACAGCCCAGAGCCTGTGGAGGTGTGCTGGGTTGTAGAGTGGGGGCATTTGATACAATGAACTTGGGACAGTGGCACTTAGAAACAACTTCACTCAACTTTCAAGTGATAAGCCATCCATTACGTTTCTGGGGACCCCCTTCTTTATCTCTAGTGACCACCCATACTGGTGGTTAGAGGTTTGCTTTCCCTTTGCTGGCTTTTCCTTAAGAGAACCAATGTATCTAACACCCTCTGCTTTCTCTGATTTTTCTTCTGGCATTTTTACAGGTCCATAATTTCTACTGTCATTAATTAGCTCTTTTGCAACTTTGCTCCATGTCCATATTTTATGGTTCCTAGCAGGAGAATGCAATTGTGAAGGTGTCGGCTGAGAGGGGGTGGTGAAGGGAGTAAACCCAGGAACAGTGGAACCAGGTCGATGGGTCGAGTTCTCAAGAAATCTGTCTAGTCTATCCACAGAGGTTATAGCTGCTATGGTTTTTTTGGAGGAAAATTGCTGTAGGTTGAAGTGATTCTGGAAGGCCTTGAATTCAAGGGGTGATAATTTCAGTTTTCACAGGTAACAACATTGGTGATTCATAACCAGCAATGAATTTTCTTTTGTGTATCATTTGCAAGCAGGCAGCATTGTGAATGTTTTCCAGTAGTTGGTCAGGGGTACTCACTATAGCAATGGAGTCCCCCCTTTCCAAGGGGTTCAGCCCCTCTGCCCAATAAGCTGCGTGCTGAGTTAGGGACCATGGGTTATGTCTGTCTCCTGCTGTTAAGAAGACTTCATGTCCCCAGTACCCACTGGCTTCCCATTCTCCCAGTTGAATTTGATCACCTCCAGTGAGAGACACTGGGAATACGGATTCTGTCTCTGAGTCGTGAGGGAGACGCCCGTACTCTTTTTTTTTTTCAAACTAGGACACCAAGTGATATATACATCTGTCAAACTAGGACACAGTGTTCCCCACAATTTAATCTACGTTAGCTCCTTTTGAGGGTAAATTTGATTAATGAGAGGGGTTTTCCTCTCTTCTGTTTCTTTTAGCAAGTCAGCATTTTTTAAATTTTTATCATGGAGGGCTGCTCGCAACAGACTGATCTTATTTCTTTCTTCATCTAATTGTTTTTGCAAAATTCTAACTAGGTTTTGGAGGGAGTCTATTATAGTTCTTTCCTCACTTCTTTGCTTAAAGCGAGTGTCGTGGTTTTAAAGCAGCAACTAAAAAAATCACTAGAAAACTTACTTATTTCTTGCTGTGAGATGTGGATTAGAACAAGAGCAAAACAGGCTTAAAACTTAAAAGGAATAAAGAAAGTTTATTAACAAAACTACAAGAATAACAAAACCAGAATAAAACTTCCAGAAAACCCCTTTTTTCCCCCACTACCCAACCATTCTCTTGTTCACATGACAACACAGAGACAAAAAACTATGGAACTCTGGTGTTTAAAACAGTCCTAATTCCTGCTAGAGCCTTTTTATCGGTCTTTGTAGAGAAACAGGAGTCTTCTTCTGCTAATCTATGGAGTTTCTTACAAGAAAACTATTTCTGTTATAGCTTTCTATTTCTCTGATGCCAGCTGCTCGGAAAAATCTGCCTTCAGATTTTCTCCTCCCATTTCCCATCACTCTGAGTTGTGTTATGGGTCAAATGAGTCTAGGGCTGTCATTTTTAAGGATGAGTTATTCAAAGGCAAAAGTTCTCTTCATCTGTCTCTGTGAGCTTTTCTGGAAACAGAAGTTTTCTCGTTGCCTCTCAAGGCCTCAAATCTTCAACTATTACTTCTCCCCCCTCTGTTCCAGCATCTCACTGTATCACAATTACTCCACCTTTTGTTCAAAATTCACACTTTGAACACTCTACTCCTCCCAATATACTCTGTCATGAATTAAAGGAGTTTTTTCAGAACACTATTGTCCATCTCCATAGCTTTAACAGAAAAATATTTCAGCTTAATAAAGCATCTCCTTATTCTCTACCTCTTCTAAAGCTTAATTCTTTTCTTCACTGTCTCTGATAGCTTATAAAGTCTCTTTACATGTTGATTAGTCTCTTTTTCGTTCTCTGGAACAAAAGGATTAATCTGCAAGTCTCATCTGGGTAATGAAAGGCTTAAAATCTTGCCCAGGCTTTGTAGATGGTTCTGTGATCTCTGCTGGAGCAGCAGCTGGAGCTGTCTGCAATGGAAGATTCTTCATGGCTGCTCTGGAGAGTGTGGTCACTGTCTCAGCCCCCTGCAGGTCAAGAGCTTTTTGCTTTCCTTACTCGGCAGTCTCTGATGAATTCAGTCCCAGCAAAAACAAAACTGCAGCCGAGCCAGGGACCGGCCTGGCCTGGCCAGAGCCCGGGGCAAGCCCCACAGGCCCCATCTCCCGGCCAGGAGCCGCGGCAGGCCCAGCCCAGCCCCTGCCCGGGCCACATGGCCTGGGTGGGGGAACAGGAGGCCAGCTGGAGCTCAGTTACCTTTCACAGCCAGGAAACAAAGAGACAAAGAAATTCTCAGGCTTAGGCCTTAAGGTGGTGTTCACAGGTTGATCTCACTTTTCAGTGGTCAAAACTGCTGTCAATTCTTAGAAATGGCCAGTTGTTGGCTAGGAGAAAAACTCCCACCAGCCTCCAGCAGTTTTAACTTCTTTAGGTGTTTCTCTTTGTTTTCTTAAATGCTAATCTATCACAGCAAGTTTCTATAGCTGCTGTAAAACAAGCTCCCAAAACTGAGCAGAGTATAGTTTTATTTTTGCCCTCTTTAATTTTGTTTCATGTTGTAATGAACATACTCTATCAATCACATTTTCCAAATTAAACCAATTATTAAGTGCCCATTCTTCCCCTCCCAGAGAAGGTCTGGCATTATGTTTTGCTAACAGAGCATAAATGCAGCAAGAAGTTCTGCATTGCTATTTTTCAGTCATTTTTACAAAGGGAAAATCACTACAGGGAGGTATAAACTTAAATGATACACACACACACACACACACAGCTTTTTGCTTCCCTGTGTGGGTGAAAAGACCAAATCTGCTTGGGAGGCACTCCTTCAGTTTCCAATTCTGGTTGTCTCTTCGCTACACCAAGCAGTCAAAATTCAAACACACAACAATAAAAAACAACAGTCCCCCCGCTTTTTGCACTAAGAGATGTTCTGTGAAATTCTGCAGAGAGAGCCCTCAAGTGAGTGTGGGGTGCTTTTCACCTCGGTGTGTGCAGTTTGCAGGAAATTCGAGTCACCCCCACCTTGCTTTCTAGACCCCGCTCACTCTTTTGGGAGTGTTGGGCTGGGTGCGGCTGGAGCCCTCCTTCCCCTAACAGAGACTGCACAACAAAACCTGCAGCCCCTTCTGTCTGTCAGAAACCCTGTCTGTGGCTCCAGTTTAAATGTCACAATTGGCTAATGCAAGCGGGAGTCGGGAGAGGTTCGTTTGATCTCAGAGTGCAAAAAGGACACAAAGGGATTTCAGTTTGAATCACAACAACAATAATGCACCTTTATTTTAGTGCCAACAACAAGGGTTATGCGATAGAGGAGAGGGAGAGAGAGGGAGAGATAAAGAAAACAAAGTAAAGGAAGAGAGAAGAGGGGGTTATAGCTACCAACAGACGAGACGGGGTCACTGGGGTCTTTTTCTGTGGGGAGATCTCACCGAAATTAACTTAGTCTTATGTAATTCTTCCCCAAAGTTACCTTGTTTCCAATGTGCTATTAAGCACCCCAAAGGAGAAGTACCCAGAATGGGAGCATTGCTGCCCAAAACCCCTTTAAGCTTCTCCATATTACAACTACAATACACCACAAATGCCAAACTTGCCATGCTTTCGCAGTCGTCTGACGGACGGCGCCTGGGCAATGCCGACAGGAATTCCTTTAGCCCAACCAAGCACAGCTTTCGCTGCATCTTACTGGCAGGCACCCAAACCAGGTAAAGCACCTCACCTTTCTCTCCTGGGGACGTTGTGAGCAGCAGAGACGGTCACGGCCGATGGGATCGCCGAGAATCCCTCGGTGCCGGCTGGAGCGTGATCGGGTCGCGATCTCACTCAGCAGCACTCACGAGATCCCATCTGGGGTCGCCAAAATGTTAGTGTTCAGGAACAGACATAGTCACAGAATGATTATATGGAGGTGCTTTATTGAAGAGCTCTGGCTGTCAGGGGTACACATACCCAAATCTGACCCGACTTGGTTTGGAGTTTTTATATGTTTTTATACTCTATCGTTCTATATCTTACATATTAATTATTAAACTTACATTGTTCTATTTGAAGCATTGTTTTTACCCAAGCACGGATTTCTCATGATCCCCTCTCAAGCCCCTAACATTGTTTCTCATCTTCTTTAAGCAATAATCACATCAACAATTGTATCATTTATCATCTGTTGATAACACAAGTGCAGTTTCCCATGATCTTTAGCAAGCACAAGGCCTAACATGTCTCAGGGCCTACTTTTCCCAGGGCTTGCCAAGCTTAACTTTCTTTCTAAGTCCCCAAAGTTTCTATGATTTTAAAACCTTTTACTATCACTGACATTTGCACCTAAACATCCACCAGATTGTGGCCTGACAAGTACAAGGCCTTGCATCCCAAAGAGCACCTGTTTCTTTTCCCTGTACAAGACACACTTTATTTGCCACAATTACTATTCAATTATTATTTGTTGGCCACAAGAACTACAAAGCCCATGGCTTTAGCACATTTCCCCCAAATCAGTGACTACGGTATGATGAAAAGAACGAGCTTCTGACTGCTCAAACCAAGAGCCTGATTTCCACCTGGTAAACAACATCTCTGTTTATCAGCACAGTCCAACACAGAAGAGCAGACAGACTAGATTTAAATCAATCAAAACTTTATGTATAACTGAACGCAGAAAACATGAAACTATGTACAGAAAAAAACTATATACAGAAAGAAGCAAGCCTCTGCACCGCCTGTTCTTCAAGGTCCACCTGAGACTGTCCTGAGCAGCAGAAGCACTCATAAATAAATAGGAAAGTACAACCCTGGATCGAGTTGCACGCCGCACATTGGGCACATGCCGGTGTTCTCCAGGGCAGCAGGGAGGCACCCACTGCAGAACACGTGGCCACACACAGTTGTCACAAGCTGTCGTCCATTTTGCATGATCTGGAAGAAAGGAAACAACAACCACATGTATTGGGAGGAAAGAATTGGAGTTTTCTGCTCTATTGGCAGCAGGCAAATGAGACTTGAGAGCATCTGGAATCAGTTAGAAGCCAGGAGGGACCCACAGATCTGCCAGTGCCATCCTGGCAAGGGCTTCTCCCTCTCCATTCACCAGCAAGAAGGGACTTGTGGAGCTTCCCAGCAAGGGCTGTGCTTCCAGCCAGCTGCCCACATCAGCCAGCTGACTTGGGCAACTCCCCTTTTGGCTTCTTCCTCCTCCCACAAAGCACAAAGCATGACAAGAGGTGCATCCTTACCTCTGAGTAATAGTCCATGCAAATTGGACAGCTAATGACAACTCCTGGCTCTGCACTAGAGGGAACAGAAGCAGAAAGAACGTGCAGCTGTTAATATCATCACACTTCAATGATTATTGATACCTAAAATCTCAGCTCATCATGCAAGTGCACTGACTAGCCCTGGCCCATTTCCTTTGAAGAAGCCTGCTGTCTTTAACTCTCTCTTTGCTGCATTTAATGAGGATTTGGGCACTCCCTGCCTCGAGGGAAAGAGCATCCTGGTTTTCACTAGGAGAAAGGTGCAGTCAGACACCCTGCTCTGGCATTTGAAGTAAGAGCAGTCTTTAGCGCTGGCCACTTGGTGTTTGGAAACTTGGACTTGCAGCGGCTCATCAGGAACAGCTTTGGAACTACAGCATCCAGCTGTCCTCTGGGAACTATTCAGCCCGGAATATTCATTGCAGGAGACGGTTCTAACACTATAGAGTAACATGGCTCTGGCAAGATCCAGCCCCAGGAAGGAGCCTTTGGTCAATGTTGAATGCTGCAGCACTGAGTTCTTTCAGAGCAGTTCCATTCTGGAACAGAGAACTGAAGGGACAGAGTATTCCTTTTCTATATGAACCAAGTGGTGGGATTTGTTCACCTGCAGAGGGAACCACCAAAACTTAAACATGTCCAAAGTCATTGGCAAAAGGCATTATGCTTAGGAATAGTGAAAGCCCTTGAGGTGGCATGTTTAAGACCTGACACCTAAAAGTTCCATACTCAGTTTCTCTCCTACATTGCCTTTCCCAAAGGCTCAAAGCACACCAGCTTTGTTTAAACCTATGCCTTTCCCTTTCACCCCCAAAAAGCCACTTTAGAAAACCTTCCATCATAATTCTCACGTGCTTTGTCCTCCCTAGTGACACAGACACCTGGTTTAATCTAATCAGCCTAATGCATTGCCTCTTTCTTATTCTGCTGGAGCGCTCCTAGAGCAGGACTTTGCTGTTGCTCTGCAGAACGGGGACTTTACTGTGCAGGCAGCCAACTTGAACTGCAAGATCTCCATGCCAGAAGCAAAGAAATCAGGGCTTGTGACATCCAGCACTGACCATAAAAGCAGGACCTGCACAGCTGCTTGTGTGCAAGTGTACCTTGGGAAGAATGGCTCCAGCTGCAGGAGAAAGGGAGCCAGCTGGCAGCATTCCAGCAGGGAATTTCTGCTGGAATTTGCCCAGCTGCTGCCTGCTGGCCCCATGATGCCAAGCCTCATTGCTAGCAATGGAAGTATTTCCATAGCTAACCTGGCTACTAGAACTTGTCAGAAAAAGCAAATGCAATCCTGAGCTATGGGCTGTGACCAATGCCCTTCCTTGCCATAGCCCCACTCTCATCTCTAAGGTTCTGTGGTGTCTGCCTTGGACTGCCTTTTTCTCCCAAAATGCAAATGGTATCATTTGATCATCATGCAACACAGGAGAAGTATGGAAATGAGTAGAGTAGGGAAGGCTTCAAAGATAAAGCAGGCATAGCTGTAGAACTTATTCCTACAGAGAAAAGAAAGAAAAGCACAAAGTTCCGTGTTTGCTAGGGCATGAGCCATACGTACGCTGAACTTCCAGCATGCTCCTCTGCTCCGTGTTCTGCAGGGGCTGCATCAGCCACAGGTGAGTCATTAGCTCCTGTGCCATCAGCAGAGCCATCCACCTGTTCCTGGCTGTTCAGTGCAGCAGTTCTCCTTTCTTCTCCATGCACTGTAATTGAATTTTCAGAAGTTACATCTATTATTCTCTCTCTCCCTGGAGCTACCCTTCAAATGAGTTCTAGAAATAGTCAGTAATGGTTCCTATTTTAAATGGACTTTGTTCATCTGGGATAAAAACAATCATAAATAAACTACTTTCCCAAAGAGTAAGGCTGAACCTTTCCAGACATTGGGACTACTTGTGGATGCTAAGTGCAAAAAGCAAGCAGGAACACACAGTCTGTGTGAAACTAAGTCACACAAAGCTTCTCACTCTGGCCTGAGAAAGCATAATGAAAAATCCAAGCAGTCCTTGGTAAAGGACAGCAATCTTTGCAGGTGTTGTTTAGAATCCTTGTTGTTTCCTTGCAAGAAATAGTCATGGAGTGCTGTTCCAATTAAGCAATGATAGTGATGTGTAAGTTTAAGGACCAATGAGAGTTTTACCTCTCAGACCTTCTGGAACACATCTATAAAAGAAGATGTGGAATAATAAACTTTGCTCTCTTGGACAAAGCAACTAAGAGAGTCATATCGTACTTCTGGTTGTTCCTAACACAGTACGACAACTGCTCTGCTATGGAGCAACACAAAACCTTTGCTTTGTTCACTCTACACCCAGCTAAGAAGGTGATTCTCAAGGACAGTCCCTGGAAACTACAAAATTACTTGGAGCATTGTCCCCTTAAACATTGTCATCATGTCCCTCCTGAGTTAAGGTAATTTGAAGATGGAGTTCTCTGGGATGCAAAATGTAGAACATGTAAAAGATTTCTTAAGAAAGGATGTTCTTGTTCTCGATATATTTCATTCTTAAGGAAGGATGTTTTTGTATTGATATATTTCATCCTCATGTATGCCCACACACATTGCATCCATTCTCTAAGACACTGGCTAGCAGCTTGAGCCTGTCCTGTGCCTTTTCCTAAAAGCACTTTCAAGCCCTGCTGCTCCAGGTTCTTGGAAAAGAATAAAAGTCATGATTACATTCTAGATCAAAGTCCATTACCAAGTGTCAAACATCAACTCACCTTCAGGAAACTTCCATTGATGCACATGAGAAGGGAAAGAAAAGAAAATACAATTAGATTGGGTGAGCCCCCTGTGCTGCATGCAAACCTCAGCTCAGAAAGCAGTTCTAGCAGAGGAGTGAGGAAGGCTAGGCTATCAGCCTCCAAGTTGGCTTAAGAGCATTCAAAGCAGGAGCACAAACAGCTGCTGCCCTGAAAACAACCAAGTGGCTGCTGCTGATTCTGCTCTCAACAGGGTACAAACAGAGATAGCTTAGGAACCACCTGAAAACCCTCCTCCCTCCTCCCCTCTTCCTGTGCCCTAATGCAATTTGGGCTGGAGCTGTTTCGTTCCCTTGTTCTCTTTTAAACTGGCAAATTCTGCTATTTTAACTCTAAGCACTTCATGTTAGATGAAAGAGCTGCTGAAGAAAGGAAACCACAACAGGCATTGGGAATAAAGAACTCTATCAGTCAGTGCTAGAATTCCAAGAAACATATGGATCTGCCAGGTCCATCCTGGCAAGGGCTTCTCCCTCTATGGACACCAGCAAGGAGGGACTTGCAGGAATGGACAACTTGGAGCTTCCCAGCAAGGGCTGTGCTTCCAGCCAGCTGCCCGTGGCACCCACCTAAGACAAGTGAGTTGTGCAGCACTTCTTTATCCCTTCCCCTCCCACAAATCAGAAATGACAACAACATGTGGGTCCTCACCTCTGCGTTGTCATCCTCCCAATTTGGGGGACTAATGGGACCTCCTGGCGGTGCACTAGAGGGAGCAGAATCAGAAGAACATGCAGCCATCAATTTCACTCAGCACAGAGGGTTACCAAGACACAGAATTGCAGAACTTGAAGTAACCCCTTATTCTAATTTAGCAACATCCCAGCTGAGAAACACAATCAAGTGCAAGAGCTTTTATGTTCTGCAAGCATTTCAGTGTATCACAGTCCATAAGGTAAGAAACATTACAATAATGACTTCCTGACAGAGAGGAAATATTTCTCCTGCATTTTGCCGGTTTTAGGGGTTTTTTCCATTCCTTCTCTTCCAGACAGGCCACTATGATCCAAGTCAGAATTCTCCAAACAGAATCAAGTAGAAGCCAAAAGATTGGCAAAAACCTGTGTCTACACGGAAATGGCATCAGAAATTACACTTTGGAGAGACCCTTTATCTGTCACATACAATTCTAGATCTCTTGGCTCCTGTTGAAGTCTGCCTGCCAGCACTTGGTTTGAATTCTCATCTGATCTGGAATCAGATGGATACTGCTGGCTCTCCTCCCAGTCCTGCAATGGGGTAAAAAAGGAGAGAGATTATGAAGCTCCCCATCCTGCTTCCCCATTTCAGTTCCCTAACAGGATTTGGGCTAGAACCTTCCTTTCCCTCGTTAGCCCTAAACACTTGGCGTTGGATGAGCAGCTGCTGAGAAATGGAAAGCACAGGCACAGGAATTTGGGGCAAAATGTTTGCTGCTCTATTGGCCCCAGGCAAACAGGACTTGGAGTATGTGCAGTCTGTCAGTCAGTGCTAGAACTATAAAAAACACATGGGTCTGCCAGTGCCATCCTGGCAGGGGCTCCTCCCTCTATGGACACCAGCAAGGAGGGACTGGCAGGAATGGGCAACTTGGAGCTTCCCAGCAAGGGCTGTGGATCCTCACCTCTGCGTTGTCATCCTCAGGACTTGGAGGACTGATGAGACTTGCTGTCCATGCACTAGAGGGAGAAGGACCAGAAGAACATGCAGCCATCAATTTCACAGTGCACAGAGATAGAAAATGGCAGAAATTGAAACAATCCCTTATTCTGATTTAGCAACATCCCATGCCAGAAACACAGTCAGTGCAAGAGCTTTAATGGACTGCAAGCATATCAGAGTATCACAGCACATAATGTAAAGAAACATTCAATAATGACTTCCTGAATGGAGAAGAAATGTTTCTCCTGGATTTTGCTGGGCTTTAGGGGTTTTTTCCCATGAGTTGCCTTCCAGACTGGACACTATGGTTCAAATCAGATTCCTTCCCACAGAATCAAGCAGAATGCAAAAGTTTGGCAAAACCCTGTGTCTGCCCTATGTCAGCAATGACACTTTGGGGAGACACATCATCTGTTACATACTCATCGTTGTCTCGTGATTCCTCCTCATCATCTCTTGGCCAGAGCTCAGCTGAATTCTCTGCCTCCCTGGAATCCTGTGAGTGCAGCTGACTCAGCTCCCTGTCCTGCTCCTCTGAGTTGTCATCCTCCGTAGTCAGAGGACTAGCAGGATCTGCTGGCTGTGCCCTAGAGGGAACAGAACCAGAAAGAACATGCAGCCATTTCAACACAAAGCCAAGAATTTCCCTGGGCACCAAGGCTTACCAACAGGTAACACCTATTCTGTTCTAGCAACATCCCAGCCCAGCACCACAGTTGTTCCCCCAGCTGCTATGTACTGTAAGCATTTGAAACTTATAGCAAGCCATACTGGAATAGCTATTCAACCATGACTTAATGGAAGGAAAAGAAAGGTTTCATCTGGATTTTGCTATGTGGTTTTTTTGATTCTTTTACTTGCTTCTTTGACAGATAGGTCACTATATTCCAAGTCAGAAGTTTCTGCACAGACTTGAGTAGAAGCCGGAAGTGTGGCAAAACCTGTTCTTACCATCTATCAGAAATTAGAATCTAGAGAGACATTTTACTCTCACATACCCATCATTAACTCTTGGTTCCTCTTCATCAGGAGTTGTCAGGGGCCCAGCTGAATTCTCAGCTAATCTGGAAAGCTGAGAGTGCTGCTGGTTCTGCTCTCTGTACTGCAGTGGGGTAAAAATGGAGGCAAATTAGAAGCCACTCAAATCAACTCTGTCCTACTTCCCCTTTACAGTTCCCTGATTGGATTTGGGCTAGAACCTTTTCTTTGCCCTAGCCCCAAAATGGGCAACTTCTGCAGTCACAGCTCTAAATGCTTCCTGCTGCATGACCAGCTGCTGAAGAATGGAAAGCATACCAGGCATTGGGAGGAAGGAATTCCAGTTTGCTGCTCTATTGGCCCCAGGCAAACAGGACTTGGAGTATGTGCAGTCAGTCAGTCAATGTAAGAACTACAAGGAACACACAGCTCTGCCAGTGCCATCCTGGCAAGGGCTCCTCCCTCTATGGACACCAGCAAGGAGGGACTTGCAGGAATGGACAACTTGGAGCTTCCCAGCAAGGGCTGTGCTTCCAGCCAGCTGCCCGTGGCACCCACCTAAGACAAGTGAGTTGTGCAGCTCCCCCTCTGCCCCTTTCCCTCCCACAGAGCAGGACAAGAACATGTGCATCCTCACCTGGGAGTCCTCATCCGACCAATAGGGAGGATCAAATTCAAACAGCAGCCAATCACTAGAGAGAGGAGAACCAAAAGAACATACAGCCATTTAAATGCACAGCCATTTCTTTCACTGGCCACCAAGGGTTACCAACAAAGAAAACGTTGGTACTCAAAACATCCCCTGTTCTGAATAAGATGCATTCTCACCCAGAAACACCATCATTGCAAGAATTTTTATGTACTGCAAGCATTTCAGCATGTCAAGCAGCTTTCTTAAATTCAATTGTGGCTTCACAAACAGGGAAGGAAGGTTTCTGCTGGATTTTGCTGGGTTTCTTTTAATTCTCCTCCAGGCAGACCACTATATTCCAGGTCTGAAGTATTTGCACAGAGTTTTGCAGAACCCTACGGCTTGGCAAAAACCTCTTTCTACCACATATATGAAATCAGAGTTTTAATAGACACTTTCTCTCTCACATACCCATCATCTTCTCCTGGTTCTTCTCCATCGTTCCTTTCCAGTGGCTCAGGTGAATTGTCCGAGGCCCTGGAAAGATGTGGCTGCTGCGGGCTCTGCTGCAGGGGTAGAACGGGGTAGAAATGGACACACTTAGGAAGCAGTGGAACTTGACCCTTCCTGCTCCCCCATTTCAGTTCCCTAATTGGATTTGGGCCAGAGCTGTTTCTTTGCCTCTTTCTCCCTCCAACTGGCAAGTTCACCTGTGATAGCCTGAACTACTTTTTATAGGAACAGCTACTGAAGAGCTAGACCCAAACCTGCTCTGGTGTTTGGTGTAAGAGGAGCTGGGTCATGCAAAGTGTGTTGTGAAACTTGAGGCCTTTTCTTTGCACAGGTTCAGGAACAACCCTGTCAGGATATAACTGCCATGCAATGTTTGCTGCATGTGTCTGCTTTGCACAGCAGTAGAGGCATCCCAGATTTGAGCAGACACAGTGCTCTGAGGGCTGCATCAAAGCATATTCTTTCAAAATAGTAGGGTAAAAAGAAAAAATCCCAAATATGCCCCTTTTAAAGACTTAGAGGAATAAGAAAGAGAATTAGTGTGTACCCCAGTCAGCTGCAGTTGCTTTTGACACCTCAGTGACAGGGGGACCTTAAACTGATGCTGCAGCTAAAACACTTCTTCAAATCAAAGACTTCCTCTGCTCTCTTTTGAATCACTGAAGCAACAACCTCTTTTAGGTTCTTCATCCACTCTCTGCAACTGATTCTCAGGCATGCTGATGTGTTTGGGAGTGTGTTTGGGGTTGACTGGGAACTGTGTCTAAAGTGCTAAATCAGAGCCATCTTTCAACCTTTGAGGCCAGGGGACTTAGTAAGATTGCAGAGGGCAAGAAAATTCCTATGGATGCAACATGGAGAGGAGTGTGCCAGTCACTACTTACCACAGGAGATTCATCATCGCTGATGGTGATGACTTCAGGCTCTGGAGAATCTCCTGTGAGATCTATGACTTCTTCAGCAGTTGAAAAAGAGAAGGTTAGAAGTGAGTTCAGAGATTGCAGAGGAATGCAATGGGCTGCCACTGTGGAACAGACTGTGCTAGGATTCCCTGTGCCCAAGGTGTCTTTTTTTCAGGAATGGGTCCAACATTTCACTCAAGCTTTGCCCTCAGCAGTCCACAGGGAGCATGGTCCTCTGTGCATTGCCTCATGTGTCCTGCTGAGCATTGCCCTGTGCCCTGAAGGGGCAAAACAAGAGGAAGAGCACCTGAGCTCCTCACAAGTTCTGTTGGATGACAACAGCTTACGGGAAGTGCACACCAACAGATCATTCCTCTTGCATAGGGGAATGTTTAGCACACAGGAGAAAAAAACCACCAAATCTATGGGGGATGCTAATTTTACAGTACCATGCTGTCCATGCTCCCCTGAAGAATGGGCCCCAGCTAGTGACTAACTTTTCTTCATCTTTGTGCAGCTTGGGAGATACCAAACTCAGCCTGCCACCTCCACTGTGGCAGCTGCAGTCACTGCCAGCTCATCAGGGCACCCATTCAGGTGTTTGAGCAGCACTTGGGGCCTTTGCTAAACAGCTCCTCTCCCACTAGAGGCCAATGGACAGAGTTCAGTAACAAACCAAAACAGCTGTCAGTGGGCTGGTTGTTTAGGGATGCCATACCAGGTGCTTCCTCAAGCCCAAGGTTCCCTTCCTCCCCAGGAAAGGGCCTAGGAACTGGCAAAAGCACCCATTCAAATGAACTCCAAGCCTCCAGAAGCAGTTTCTGTTCTTACCAGCCTCTCTTGGCTCTGTCTCCAAGGTTCCACCAGCTCTGGAGGGCAGCAGCCTGCTCCGTTTCTGAGCTGGGGTAGAATCCAGCGCCTCTCCAGGGCGCTTTCGCTGACCCTGAGAGAGAGCAAAGCCTTAGCATTTTCTGTGGCACTAATATGAACATGGCACTTGGTTTTTGCCACCCCAATGACAGCACACAAGGATACACAAAACACTCCTGCAAAGGCTGCAATATGCATCCAATGGTGCTATGGGCCATTCCCACCTAAGTGCATCTCCTCAGAGCAAAGACATCAGCCCTGAACT